TCTGTCCAAGATATTACACGCTTCTGAAACGCGAACACGGGGAGGAAAGCCCGATAAGTCCCCTGGTCTGGCCATCGGCCAATAATTCGTGTAAACGTTTGCTTTCGAAAATGTCGAAGAATCGACGGAGCGAAATTCATAGTTTCGGTGGATATCAAAAGCATCTAACAGGCAAACGGTCCGATGAAAGATGCATGAGGCTTTTCTCACGCATCTGTCGTGATATGTTGGCGGATATCCAAGTGGCTTTATTCGGCCAGAAGTTTGATGTATGGAAATATATTACCGTGTAGCAAGCACGATATATCCGTAGATTTTGCGACATGTTTACGGGGCGTTCTTAAAAGGACGACTTGGAACGCGTGTTTCTAAGCCGCAGAGGATTAGATCGCAATGGAGGACGAACAAAAAACCGGCAAAGTTTGGGAATTTTGTGTGAAAAGGGTATATGATACGCTAGAATGGTATTTCGGTCGAATATACAGTGATGATTCTTAAAATGAACTCGTGATTCGTAAGTTGAACGTTTCTATTTATATAAAAAACAGTTTTTTTTCTCGTTTTTATTCAATGTTTATTGGAGTTGAACTTCAACCCTGAAGAGATGTTTATTTTAAGAATCATTACTGTATTTTTAGCTTTAGACAGATAAAAATGACAATGTAAGAACTTGTTTCGATCGAAAGATTCATGTTTCCGAGTGATAATTTTTTCCATTAAACAGACAGTCTTAATAGATGTTATTAGAATTTTTATCTTCAAATTTAAATGGAAAATACGGACAATGTATTTTTACTTATTAAATTATTTTAAATGGAATAATGTAAATTTCATTTCGAACTAATACGATAAGGCGCTAAAGGATTTAAAAAAAGCTAGAATCGAACAGAAGAGTTTTTAAAATTCGAAAGAAATTGGCATATATTTTCGGAAGTAATGTAGAAAAAACTGGATTTCTCCCGCGTTGAGTATTTCCGCGCGACCCGATGAAAAGGGTCCTTCGAGTAATTAAAAAAAAGTCGAATTGTTTTCGACGCGAGAGCTTCCAGGCGTGACGGGGTGCGGTGCGAGAATTTTTTTTTGTTATTTTAAAGTCGTTCCGCCCTGTGAAAATGGGCGGCACTATCACCAGCTGCTCCGACATCTCTTTGTGACTTTTCTGAATTCTTCCTAACTGCGGCAAAAGTGAATTTACGGCGTGTTCCATTGGCGCACGGAGAAGCCAAAAATAACGAGGACGAGCGCGGAGTGCTTTGTCAGACTCGCGGTACCTTAAATTGTTTGCTAATTTCCAACCGTAATAACAAATGTTTTCGAAAACTTCCGTGGATTCACGAACACTTTAAACCGAAGCTAATTTCATTATTTCTCTGAACTCTGATCTCCTTTTGCCTAAATTTTGAGACACTATTGTTCTTACTTTTCATTAAAAAAAATTATTGTCTCTAAACTCGAATCTATAGATTTATTTTTCCACGTACTTTCAAATAAATTTAATGATTTTTAATGTGAGTTCATTTCGATCGAGAGTAACAAAGAAAAAGAGTTTTACGTACTGCAAAATTTTGACCCGTTAACTTCTAAAGATAGTTTAATGTCTGGGTTGGCGTTTGTACGTATAGTTTGAAACGCGAGTACATAAATTACGTTAATTGACTTGATGGTTGGTAGCACGTGTAGGTTTAGGATTGAGGATAAAATCTTGCTTTTCTTATGGGCTACTTTATACAAAATCTTATCTAAGTTATCTTGAAACTATAGGATAATTTTAGTTTTAAATTACGCCGGGCCGCGTGTTTTCTAGCGAAAATCTGTTTCGCGTTTGCATAAGGCGCAGAGGGGTACACGTTTATTTACAGAATAAACTCGTAAAAATTGAAACGACCAAGACACGTGAGATATGCAAGAATTGGTGACATACACAATTATCTTTTACTGTTAGATAAACTTCGTTATTTCTTCAATGAGGATACAACGTATGCAAAAAATGTACTGAAATATATTTCTTCTTCATACGCGGTCTATTTTTCAGGTTTCACGACACTTTGCTGTATTAGATTAAGAAATATTCCGTTTAATATGTTCTACAGATTTTGCTTCTGATCCACGACTATTTCTCTCAATATTCGTGCTTTAAGAAACATTTTTCTTCCCGATCCTCTCTATTTGATCCTCTTTTTATTCGAAGGACGATTCTACCGGTAATTTTTCAAGACATCGGGGACATGGAAACCTCACGTCGAGGAGCAACAATACAGATTCCATTCCCAAGAAAACCGTATTTTAGTTTTGATCCTCCCAATTGTGCGTGCGGAATCGAATCATAGATAACGTTTCGAAGGGAATATCGAACACGGAATACAGTTCCAAAAAACATATTCACGTTACGATTGAAAATAAACTTGACAACGCAGGAGGTGTAAAATCGACAATATTTCTAAACTTACAGAAATCACAACTTTTTAAAAGCAGAGAACTCTGTAAGTTTAAAAAATTAAGAAACTCGTATCAGGATAATAAATTACGTGTACTTAATATCGTATTTTTTGTAAACCCTTCTAAACACGTTGAAACAGAAATATTTGTCGAGTAAAAAGATGTTAATTTTTTTAACGTAGCTAATAAAACGAGTTCCAAAAAAATACCCTGCGCAACGAACTCTTATAATTAGCGGAGATAGCGTGAAAAAATGTGCCACTCGCGCGTTGGCATTTTGATAAAGTCGTTTATTAGAAAATTTCGCGCTGCGCATGTTCGCGCGTTAATGCCCCAAGGTGATACAGGATATAATTTCATACTTGCCTGTAGCGTAATTTCGTTACTCTAACTACTTCAACAATGTTATAGGTATGTATACATATACAGGGTGGTCCACTGCAAACCGGAAACCTTCGTATCCTCGCGATTTTAATCATCCACAGACGGCCATTTTGAAGTACGAATTTAAAACAGAACGGAATGATTTTGAAGAAATAATTTAACCAATATACAGGCTGAATTATCTAACTTTGCTGTATTAAATAGTACTTGAATTAAATATTGTATGTAGAATATTTTATCAAAATGAATTTCATTTTTATTTTATAGTTTTACAAAGATATTGTAATTTATCGATTTCTTTGTTGGAATGTCCAACATTTTATTCCACTGATATAGTATCGTATATTAAGTAAAGAAATTTTTCGATTTTGTGTACGATAGCTGAGATAATAAACCATCTATTAAGGAACTGTTGCCACTATATTATGTGCCCTTTAAAGCCATAAAAGTTGGTGATGATTTTTGTTACTGTTTAGAATATTGAAGACTAATGTGCTATTTCTATGGAATTACCCTGTAGCGCAGGAAATATGGAGAGAATTTCTTCTTGTGTCGACTAAAATTCTAACGATCTCAAGATTCTACGCATACTATGCACGACTATGCAAGACGCGAACTCGTCTCTTTTAGAATCGATACTTTGGAATGTGTGATTAAATTAAAGTCGTCGCACGTAGTATCGAAAAACGATCAAATTGAATCGAAAATATATGTTACTATAAACCTGTCTGTAAAAAGAACCTTACATTATCGAAACAAGCGTCAATTCTCATAAAACAAGACAAATTTAACAATATTATTCCCACCGTTGATTCATCAGCTAGCTCTGTATCGATTCAAACCCAATATTATATATTTTACAGGTAAAAAATATTCACAGGTGCTGTGTGAAGAAGTAGATACCACGTTCCATCGTAAAAACAGGTTTAAAAAATTAGTAAATGAGCCTAATGCATTTTCCTTGTCAAGGAAAATTGCTTGTGTCCTTTCTAGGGGAAAGAAAGATCAGTCTTGGGTTAAAAAAAATGTGGTATCATTGGCGATTAGTATGTGGACAATGTCGAGTAATTTATGCGTACAAGGAACGTCACCGAAGTGAAAATTTTCGATTCTATCGAGTCAAGTATCGAAAACTATCTAATTTGTAATTTTTTCTTCATCAAAACTATCTACAAAATTGTGGATGAAAAATAACGCTGATTGGAGATAATAAATTAAACAAACTACTATACTGTGGCGTAAAAGTATAAACCCATTACAAATTTTGTAATTTCAGGTCTTATACTAATGCTGAGAATCGAACTGTATGAAATATCGTACGAAATAATTTATCTCAAAAAGTAATTTAGTTCAAGTAAATGCTTGAAAAGACAGAAGGTTTCATTGCTTTCCACCAATCTAGTACCAGTTTTTAAAACGTTTTACAACGATAATTCGAACGTTAACAGCATTAGGAGCACCGAGGTTTAATTGGTTCCGTGGTTTAGAAAGAAGAAAAGGGGGAAACCTCGTAAACGCACGTAATAGACAATTTAAAACTGTGAAAGGCCTGGAAGTGGCAATACACTTGGGTCTCCTTTTACACGGTGAACACGCTCAGTGTAAAAATACTACGTTTAAAAATAGATTTTGATCATATTCTCTGTGAACTAATCACGTGTTAGTAAGAAAGAGAACGGTGAATACACTCAGTGCAAAAATATTACGTTTAAGAATAGATTCTGATATAATAATAATTAAAACGTATTAAAAATAATCGTGTGCAAAGAGACGTAGACGTATAGACTTGCAAAACCTCGCCAATAACACATCAAATTGCATATTGTAATTTAATAATTGCAACGAATTCTTAACTATTTATCCAATACAACAACGTCCAAAATTACACTTCTTTCCTCTTCCTTCAGAATATTTTCTTGAACTAAATTAATTCTCATCGAGACAAATTATTTCGTACATTCGTTTATAACGCGATGTATCTTTACTGATTTGGGGAAAAGAAAATCGATTTCTTCGAATCGGAATAAGTGGAGTGATCAGCGCGTAAATATGACGGGTTTGTCATCGTCAAGAGCGAGTTGGTCGAGGGTGAATGATTCGTTGATCGACACCGATAGCAAACAAAACGAGCGAAGCCTGCGCGAGGCGTTCTATCTTGTAGAATCTGTTAATCTACTCACCGTCGTCGAGGCGCTGGAACTTCTGTGCTGCTTCACAGGCGGACTTCCCTGGGCGGTTTGTATGTCGGAGCTTAATTGACGGTTCGAGGCGACCGGTTGATGAAGCTGCGCCGTGGGCTCTATGTCTAGGTAGCAATGAGTCTCTAAATGGCTCTGTGCTCTCCTCTCCTCCAGGACTATCTTGCGGGCTGCGCAGAATATCTTGTAGTAGACCTGGAACAAAGCAACAGTTCCAGTTCACCGCAGGTTTCTACAAAAAAGGGATCTAAACGTCGTGTTCAGAGATTTCAATTCCACTGGAGACTCCAAGGGAACAAATTTATAATAATTTTAATCACTTGGAAAATTTTTAACACTAGATTTACGGAAGTTGTCAATTTGTCAGGTGTCTGATTCCATATTTAAAATTGCAGAACGCCTAAATATTATTTTTTAACTTATGTCGAATTTGATCGATACACTGGCACGAATACATATTCTAATTAGAAGAGAAATCGTATTGTAAGGTAATGCCCGTAAATCTAGTGTTAATCAAGTGTGCAAATGGCGTGCATTTTAGCTACTTAGTATAAAACAATATTTTGCAATGATTAAAAAGATTTTCTAAAAGAATGTCTAGCCCTACTTAAAAAGATGTCGATGACTTATACTCCGAGTAATAAATAAATAAAACAAATTTATAGATGCCCCAGTAACGTTCACTATAGACATTAAAAACGTCGTCTCTGTCGAACGATGTCTCGTCGGTCTATAAAACATGAAATCCAAGTTCCCGATCGCTGAAACGTCTATGAAGTAACCAACGCGAAAATCCCATTCGCGTAGCCGTAATCGCGTTCTACAGATGCCTGTGCCCGAGTTATACGATACGGATACATTTCATTACCATGTAATGTGCGGCGAATGGTACCCGCTATTACTGTAATTGTAGCGTCGAAACAATACTCGCGATGCAAGTCCAGGATCGTTATAAACATTTTCCAGGCCGTTTTCTTCGACGTTACGTCGCCCGTAATGCGTCTTTAATTTTCGACTCGTTTCACAAATTGTACACGATACGATTTCGTTTCGATTTTACTCTAAAAAAAAATTTAATCGCGTTTTAAGAATCTAACAAAAGAAAATGCGTATAATTTTAGGTGACGAATTTTTGGTAGCGTTGAACGAATTTCTAACCACGCGACGTCGCTATCATTAACAGTCCGCAATTTTTGTCGTCCCACGACGTTACGTTCCCGATTAATTGGACGTTTCCGCGCGCGGCAAACAGACCCGTGAAAATAATTGGCGGGAACGTGGCATAACTCTGTCTGAAAATAAACGATCGCGGACACCTTGCCTGCGGTCGCCGCGAACGTCAACGTGAATTGGCATAATAACAGTTAAATAATTGCCACGACGTGGAATCCTCGTCGCGCGGAGACCGCGTGTCCCTTTTATCGCCAGGCGTTCCTTTAATTAATGTAGTAAAACGCACCGCGACGCTTGTAACGGGCCAACGACAAATTGGTACCGGGCTCTGTCGAAGGTTTATCGAAAATGCGGTTCGCATAATGCAAACTTGTTCCTTTGAACGATTGCAAATTGCGCTGCAACGCGACACAGGCCCTCATTAGCGACGGGGATTTGTAAACAAATGTTTTGGAAGATTGCTTCGATCCGATGTATTAGTTAACGAGATACGATGTTATCTAAGACTTAGAATCTTTATGCATTTATTTTAATTCTCAAAAAACTACAGAATGAATTATATTTGGGGGTTGAGACAACTACAAAGCTCCCATTTCGTTAATTCTATTAATAAAAATATGAATTTGCATCAAGATTAGCAGTCTAGTTATTAATACAAATAAAGAAATTGATAATAGAACGTTCGTTTAATAAAAATTATATAAGAGTTTTACTTATTCACCTGTTCATTGAGTTCACCCCCCCAAAAACGTGCTAATAATTTTGTAAAAGAGTGAACAGAAAAATTTTGCCCGTCTCCAGTGTAAAATAATGCTACTGCAGTCCATTAACGTTTTACAAAATTCAGGAGATCGAATATTCGAGGGCTGTATTAAATATTTTGTCCAGTTCGCGGAGACTAAATAACGTTTTATCTTCAAATGAATTCCGCCAAAGCGAGTCGTACGCAGAATGAATTTTCCGTTTTAATCTCGCTAAATAAATTACCAGTTAGCATCTCGTCGATTTAATATGGTCGTCCTGTTGCGTTCTTTATGTAACAAAGAAGACCAATTAATGGAGTCCGGTGACTACGCGTTAATTAAACCAAAACTCCGCCGGAGAAATGAATAATTTTTACGTAATTGTGAAACCGAACCGATCATGCGTAAAGCGGGTAATCGACGGGCAATATCGTCGATAACAGTTTTAATTAATTCAACGAGGGATCGTTGTAACGCTCGACAAAGGTAAAACGAATTCATCGCGGAAAAAATGCTACGCGATCCATGAATTTATTTTCTTTGACAACAGTCGAAGTCCACGGCGAGATAAGTAGATGTTTTATAGTTTAACAGAAGTCAAGCGCTGGCGGAGTACTCCATTTTTTATGATACAGTCAGCAACTTTCGATTTGCAGACCGTATAAATATTTTAAAATGCGAATAGCCATTGGAACGTGGCAAATGCAATTCTTAAAATAAAAGTTGATCGAAGCTTTCAGGAGTCTGTAAATTCGTTTGTTAATTTATGCAAAATGTCCGAGATTCGTTCAAAGTTTCGAAACTCATCGAAACTTCACGATCGTTGGAAACTTTCTAGATCTTTACACATTCATGACGGTTTTTAATCCGTGTCGAGACACCTATCGTTAACCTGAGTTTTTTTTTTATAAGAAGATATGGAATTCCATTATTTGACTTTATGGAAATGGAAAGTATATAAAAATTCCATAGAATTGCGACGTATATTGTTTAACGATTCCATTTGTTTCATTCTTGTTTCATCGTAACGGATCAAGTGGTATCGATTTCAGCAGTATTAAGTAGAAACACTATAAAATAGTATAATAGCGATTTTTTACTCTTGTATACACAGTTTTATAGTTTAATATCACTGGCTACCGATCGAACGCCGTGAGAAGAGAACTCTTTCTCGGCTTAACTGGATAACACTCAGTTTTAAACTCCAGAAAATGTTTGTAACAGAAAGATATAGGTCCTTTCTTTCAACTACTTACGATAAAACTTAATAGCAAAAATCTATACGGTACAATCACAAAAACGTGGAATTTATTATAGTAAGTTTAAGCTCTGACAGAGATGTAAAAAGTACTTTCAAACAGACATCAATATTCGACATCGTTTTATACTAATACCGGTTTCACGTAAATTATCAAACAATTTCTAAAATTTTTTACTCAAATTTCTCTCTAAAGGGCTTATTCTAAGATCGAAACCGTTATGAAGATGTAATTTTATATAAATCTTCATTCACAAGAGTTTAAAGAACCTGTTCGATTTGGAGTTAGTCAACGTTAGATATTATAATCATTACTCTGCTGATCCATAAATGATTAATTCGATAACGCATTAATGAGGCTTCGTTAAATCAAGATAACTAACTTCGTTGTCGGTTGGCATATCGTATTATTAAATTCCGATAGTCGCCTAATAAGTTCACGGTGTCAGCATCTCCATTAACTCGATGAAGCTTAACAGTTCGAGACGCTGCTTCGTTACAAAACAAACGCGTTTTCGAGTTCAAGACGTAATAGATTTCTATTAAAATGCGTGAAAATTGAACTGATGCGCGAGAACCTCGTAAGACGCAAGTAATTTGGGAATTACGATGGGATAAAGTTAGTTTACATAAATTTCTACGATATCTTAGAGCTATAGAAACGTCTCGCGAGATAATGCATTAATTCATCCAAGATATCGAGCTTAACGTTGAAATTAGGGTCGGGAAGTCTTTTGGATTTAAAGTTGGATTTCTGTGCTTCCTCCAGGAGCCACTTTAGACTTCAAATTCGCGACGGACTTCAATTTTCTGTACAGTGTTCGTCAAGAGTTTACTTTTATGCATCTAAAAAACACTGCATCCTTGAAGATTTATTCTTAAATTTAACCAAAGCAATATACCTATTATGCACTTGAATTTTATATATTACAAATCTTTATGATACATAGATTATTTACATTTGTGTTGAAATGAGGCATATTTAACGAAAATGTTGATTAATTGCCAAAACACAAAAATAAAATCAATATTTACTATGACCACTCTTTGTTGCAATATTTGCTTTCAAACACTTTTAGAAAAACTGCACTTTTTTGCTAATATGCAGTAACTTACGAATTTTGATTTGAAAATTCTTTCTTTACTGACATTCTGCTATTTCCTTACAAATGATCAGTTTCATGCAAAGCTTACAAACCAAATAGATCATTTGAGACTACTGGGTGAGAGTGAAAAGGATACATCGCGCTTCTTTATATTTTTCACGTTATAATATATAATACATAAAAGTTAAGTGCATAATAGTTGTACTGCACTGGTTAAATTTAATTTATATCTGTTTCCTTTACCTGCCCACTAAATTTTGTCCACAGCTGCGTCCGTTGGATCGATCGTGGATTCAGCAAAAAAGCCTACCTGTATCATGACGAAGAGGGGTATGTAGAAGCTGCCCAGGGTGGCATAAATCTGGTAGTAGAAATTTTGGCAGACCATGCACTGCGTAGGACCGGTCTCGGAGTGAATGTATTGGTTTCCCATTGCCAGCAATGGTGGCAGGCTAATGAAGCCTGCTCCTAACCAAACCAGGGCGATGTAGAAGGCCATCCGTCGCGGCGTCCTCTTCACCCCGTACTTCAGCGGTTTCGTTATGGCGCAGAATCTGCGACACAACGCTGCATTTGCACACGGCTTGCTAATCAAATACGTTACGATGGCTGATTAAATGGAACAGGCATCGATGGCGTTAACGGAAGGTGCAAGAAACTACTTCCAATAACCTAGGACGTATTAGCAATAAGTAGCGATGATACTCTTCATTTCGTTCCATTTTCTTTTTTACTTTTCACTTTATTAAGTAGCAAGTATCGATGATGTTCTTTATTTCGTTCCATTTTCGATAGCACTAAAAATTTGTGGAATTATTTGTGGGGAGGTTTGATATTCGAAACGATGTGTAGCAACTTTTATAATCATCGCAATACTAAGAATTAACCGAAACACCTGATACAGTAATGATTCTTAAAATGAACGTCGTACAGTGAAAGTGAATTTTGTAAAAGGATTAAAACAGTATTTTTTCCCCCGGAAAATCCAAAAATACAAATTTATAAATGATATATTTGATTTAGTCGGAGTTTAATGCATCTGATGGAGACTCGTTTTAAAAATCATTGCTGTCTGGTCACACGTCGAGCTTGTGATAATAGCGATACCACTTACCGATCGACGGAGATCATGCAGAGGTTCAGGATGCTTGCCGTGCAACTGAGCACGTCGGAGATAACCCAAAGGTCGCACATAAATTTGCTGAAGGACCAATTGCCAGAGATCTCGTAGAGCAACGCCATCGGCATCACCAGAATCGCAACGCAGAGATCGCTGAATGCCAAGCTCACCAACAGATAGTTGCAGGGTCTTCTCAGCTTCCTAACGAGGCACACGGCGACGCAGACCAAAATGTTGTCGATCACGGTCACGACTATGATGATACCAAGCACCAGGGCGATGATTATTGCCTGGGGAAAGAAAATTGAGCTGTTAACCGGTTTCCAGATCTACATACAAAGTTGAACACGTTCTTAACATATGCCCCATATTTTAGTCCAATTACGAGATTTTATCTTCATCAATAGATTATTGACAATCAGTCCAGATGCATTTCAGTGATTTAAAACGAAAAAAAGTACCTGGAATGTACCCCCTGAGCGGTCAGGGTTGGTTCTATATGGTTCTCGCGAATGTAACATTTCAATCGAATTGTCATGCATGTAAACATGACACTAATCCGCTCGTATGTGATAGCACGATGCAAACAATCGTAGTTAGATACCGGATAATCATGGGAATGACAGTATTAGTTCCCGATTACTCTGTGCGTCACAGCGATTGGTCCCCATATCTCAGGATCCCAATCCGTTTGACTCCGCCAATCAGATATATCTGAAACAACCTGTCTAACCAAGACAAGCTATTAACCCTTTCACAGTCCAATCTGTCACGGACACGGTTCAAGCGACGCATCCCAACTGCTTAACCTTCAATAAATGTGGGACGGTTTATCATGCTGGTATCGTCTATATTTCCTCTCACTTTCTGTATGAAGTTAAAGTACTAAGTATGCACATTCAGAATAAAATTATTGAACATTTTTGTACAGATTTTTAAATTACGCGCGTTAAGAAAAAATATGCGATATGAAAGAGAAAGATATCTCACGAACAAACTTCAAAACACAATTTTCTATACATACAATGCAAAAATTGGAAGTACGTTGCCTCGTATCAAAGAAAAAGAAAGATACTTGACAAGTCATGGTAGAAATGGGTATACATAAAGTTTAGTGTTAAGAATACTCAGGAATCCCAACTTGACGCACTGTATACTTTGATTTCCACCGAAACTATGGACTAGATACGCTTAAAATTCAGCAGAAATTCAAATCGCTTCAAAATTAGTTAGGAAACTTTATGGTCGGGGAAGTTTTGGATATACCGAATATGTTGTACAACCTAGGAAATTCTTAGCTGCAACTTTCCCTACGTCCGGCTCTATAAATTGAGAATCATTCTATAAAGCGTTTCGATATCGACTCCCCGGCTCTTCTCGCCTTTTAATTCCGAGTTACGGGGAATTTTTACACGCATACAGCAGGCTGAAATGCCAACGAACAAACGACGCGTATCGGACGGAATTGTTTTCTTATCGAACGAACGTGTGCATCCTCCTTTTGCCTCGGCGGAACAGAGTTATCTGATTCAAACGCTGTCGGTAAACACACTTATTATTGCTTTCACTGCGAGCAACGATCGAACGAATGTTCATTTTATTCTGAAATAGATATCAAGTGACATTTAACGTACTGTTGCTTTTTTAGAAAGGTTTTGCAACTGTGTTGACCCTTTGCACTCCAGGAATTCACTTTTACAGAAGTGACTGGGCTACTTGAATGCAATTTTAAAGAATATTCAAATTCTCCTTTCTCCCCAGACAAATTTTTTATTTCTTCATTCGTTGATTAGGTTTGGGTTGCTATACGTAAACCTTGAATCTAGGTATGGTAGAATTTATTTGAAGGGTTAAATAGTTTAACTTTCAATAGTCAACAAATCTAAACTTAAATGTTCGATTCACACAGGGAATAGGATGAGGGTTAATTTTTTGTTTTTAAAACATTTAGTTACTACTTTCTTTATACAGAATAAAAGAGTGTACACTAAAGGATTAATTGTCATTTCCCTGTTATGATATTTGCAACAAGATCGATTGTTTCTTTCGATTTAAAATACGATACTGTCAGATAAAAATCATATTGTGAGTGTATCTTCTTTTCACAGTTTTTAACAGCACAGCAAAATGATAAAAACATTATCTTGAACAACGAGCAATTACTACGATTTGTTTTAATCTTCTCTGGATTTATTTACAGAAAAGTTTGGACCAGTGTCGAGGGAATTCGACGAGTAACCCGAATGCTTTGCGACGTCGCGAACACAACGAAATTATCGTCGTAATTGAATTGGCTGGCATGCAAAACCGTACAATTTAATTCGAGATAATCTTTCGCGCTGCGACAAGCATTTCGAAACGACTCATCGTTGGTTATTATATTCGACGCCGGCTGATTTTCCGCGATGGACACTTTCGTTGGAAAAATTACGCGGTTGCCGCGGTACCACTTGTGTACATGTATCATTGGATTTGAGCGTTATTGCTCCCCGGTAACAACCCATTGTACGTTATTTCCATGCTGGCCGAGTCCGTCGAGCACGATAACAATCGGGAAAATCTGCATCAGCGGCGAACCAGGGAAAATCCAGAGATAAATGGTTCGCCGCGAAAAATGGAAGAGAGGGGGAACAAAGTTTCTCTTTGCGGGGGCGATTAAATCGGGCCACTTCGACGCGATTCGATTGAAACTGTGACTTGTTTGTAGCGCGGCGGTTTATGTTTTTACGTGACCATTCAAACGCGCGGAGTATTTCCAAGTTGTACATTCGATTGTTAAGGGGCCATTGAGTACAGAACATTTTTCTGGTCTTTTAAGGGATTTTTAATATGAACATTTTGTTTTATGAATGTTTAGAATTTTTTTTCGAGCGAAAATAATCAAAACTGAGTGAATTGTATGGCATAGTTGATTGAATGTTTGCTCAAATCAGAGTTTAGAGCAGTGGAAAGATATCGGTGGATCAAACTGCGTAATTGTTTTCATAAAAGGATGCAAGAATCATTTATTTCTTACCGATGCATGAATATTGAACGTGCGCCAACATGATGAGCCAATAACCTACTTTAGACACACATGATTCAAGCCTACACGCGCTCGATATTAGCTGCGACAAAAGTGTGCCTGTCGTTGAACACGGTGACAAATAAATAATCATTGACTATTAATAATAACGAGGGAGGCCAAATGAGCGACGAAACTTTGATTTTTCAGAACGCTATAATATTTAATTTGTGCCACTTTTCTATATTAAGGGAGAAACCATCCCTTTTCATTGCAAATTACGAAAGATATCGAAAAAAGATGGGAATAAATACTATACCGAGAATATAACTAAAATACTGTCGAAAGAATAATTTTGTACTGTTTTGGGGGAATATTAGAACGATAGCTTTACGTACAATAATTTACAGTGATTATGCATTGTTATACATCGATGGATTTAGAATAAGAATCACGTTAAGTTACATATAATTGTCTAAAAAGCTTGAAAAATTTATTTAATCCTACACTTACGATTCACTTATCGATCGAAACGCATACATTGTAATCGAAGTACATAATTTAGTGATCAATATGCATTGCACTTGTCGACGATCCCGTACGATACTCCAAAATCAAACATTATCGTTATAAACTATGTTCATCATGAGCTCTCGATATTCTCGGTGATATGCTCGAATTCGATCGTTATCAAAATGAAGGTTTTTATTTCATTAATAATTAAAATTACATTTGGCAAACTGTAAATGACAAACTGGGTGTACCTTAATTACGTTTGCGATAATAACGAGATAAATGGCGAATTTCGCGTTAATTTCTCGTGTATGTAATAAACTCAGTCGGTGGAAAAACGATTTAAATGTATGTGAGCCTTCAAAAGTCGCTAATATATCAAATATTTTAAATTAATAAATATTAACAGCAGCTGTATCGAAAAGTGAAGTTAATTTACAAATTTTCTCACACAATTTTATTGAAATATATTATTAAATACGTGGCATTTCTTAATATTTGTACGACTCTGTGCTTCTTATTCACGAACAAGGAAACACCAAATTCTAATTATCTAAAGTTGGAATATATCTCATTGCTACATACTCCAATTTTAATAGAATTGATTATGATTGAAATTATGTTACAAATTGATGTATATACAATTTCTTACCAAACCAATAATTAAATAAAATAAATAATTAATAATTTAGTTTGTGTATATCTGTTTAAGTGAAACTATTAATTTCGAAAAATTGAAAGAAAGAGACGCGTTATCAATGGATAAGTTTCAGTTACAATTTGATGCAAAGAAGCTACAAGCAAAAACTCAATATTTCGTAATCGAAATATTAACATTCTGTGTTGCTTGAACGATTGAAAATGCTCGGTTAAACAACGTTCAGGTAAGAATGATCCAACTGCGTTAACGATACAGTCCATTCGAGAAGTTCAAACACTCTTATGGTCGAGAGGTTTAACGGACGAAAGTTCACTGTATAAAAGTTCAACCAACTTACCAAAGGAAAGTTCAACAGACTCACAACTATAAGAGTTTATCACCAGCAACCCGGAAAGTTCCATTCTACCTTCACTCCAAAGTTCGATTAGTTCTAAAGTTCAGGCGCAGAAATTTTTTATGTTCGATACGTCAAACGGTGGGACAAAACGAACTGACCACGATCTAAATACGGTTTTCGTATCGTGAATTGAAAGATTGTTTGTAAGAAGCGTTTATTACCTCTCTTATGCAAAATTTAATTCTCTTTAAAATTTTTCTCGAACTAAAACTTTTCTCGATTACAATTCTCTCCATCTTCGTAAATCGGAAAGCAAAAAATTGTTAATATTTTACTTCGATTCATCCTCTTAACACAATGAATAGATTGTATAGATTTTAATTTGCCTTGCAATTTAACAAGCATTTATTTTTTTTTCATTAATTGATCTCCTTCTGTTTAAAACGACACAACTTCAACTATGTACTTTTGATAAATTTTCTAATATTTTCACGTAAGATTTCTCGAAATAAAAATATTCAGAGCACAATTAAAATTACAGAATCTTTTTCGCCACGTAAACCTTTTTTCTCACTATGCACCGTTCGATTTGAAAGATCGATTTGTAGTTCCTATATCCAAATCTATGGCGGGGATTAAGGATAGCGATGTGGATCAGGTTTCTGATACGAACGTGATTTCTTCGCTGCTTTCGAGATTTCGAACGCCGTTTCCAGCTAAGTCTCTTCCACAAGCACCGTGGCCATTGCCTCGATTAAATATCCAAGGTTGGATCGCTACCACGACGACGTTTCGAGCTGCTCATGCGTCATTTACAGAAAAAGAATCACCGAAGCTCGTCGCGGAAGAAACTGATTAGGAACTTCGCGCAGTAGTCGGGTCTAACTTTGATCGAACGTGGTCGATGTAATGGAATTCTGAAGTAGATTAAGAATAAACAGAATTAGGACTTGAACACGAATCAGTAACAGTACTCTACCACATTTCTTAAGTATTCATTATCGCAAATTAACAACCATTTGCTACGCACTCAATTCCTCCAACGATGTACGGGGGTTAGCAAAGAATGTCGTTTCGCGACGCACAACGCGTTTAAGGCTGCAATTCTCGTCGCCCTTTGTCACGGGAATTTCCACGCGACAGAGATGGAAACGCTGTTTAAAAGAAACGAAAGGAATTTACAATCCCGATACGAGGAGTTATAAATAAAGACGGGAAAGGGAGGTCCATCGCGTTACGTAAATAACTGGGTTTAAGATCCTTGCACTTGGAAGCGTATAAATTACCCATTTAACCTCCTCAAGGACACTGGCGCATAGTAATCCCGTTTCCCCGGTAGTTTTACGGTTTCTTTTTGCTTCTCGGAGTTTAAGAGTCCCGTCAATAAGTTCTCGACGAATCCTGAATCATGAATTTTTTTAAATAAAACGTTTTCTTGTGTATGCTATCAAATTCAATTAAACGAAAGCAAAATTAAATCGAGAATGTGAAGTACAATTATTTCGTTTTCGGGATAATTTCGAAAATTTAGTACGCGTGCAACGAAGTATAATACGACGAGGACGTTAGTACAAGCAGTGAATGATGGACAAATCGTATGCAATCGCACGCGTGTCCCATGCAAATTGAATTCAATTATGGGCAGAATTTATTTCACATTCTTTGCTTACGTTTGTGTATGGAATTGTATACAGATATAACTTGATAAATTGGATAGTCAAAGGCGATATCCATTTATTCAAGGAAGGTGTTCTCAATTTTTACGAGATGTTACATGGTTTTATCGCATAAAATAGCTTCCTTGTTCGCTCGATCCACGAGAAAACACCTATGAAATATTATCCGCGAGAAGATTGATATTTTCTATAGATCTGGCTTATTTTATAGGCTATCACACACACCATGACACGATAAAAATAATTCAGACAAACTCAGAAACTGTTCAGTGTGTTAAAGAATGTTAAGTCAATATTAAATGTACAAACAAATTTTTTGTAAAAATCGAAACGAGATCAGCTTTTCGACGTTATCACTAAAATAAAGATTATTTATTTTTTCGACTAAAATATTCCACAGTTTCAAATAACGATTATTTTTTTGATTATTTCGTTCATAATATGGTAACTATTGGTTTTTATTTCAATTACTATTATAGTTTTCGTAAGGAATCTTATCTTATATTTGCCTCGTATTATAGTCGAACAAGAATAATTACAACCTTCCTTGAAATTTGCGAATAAGGAACCGCTTCCTTCTAATCTGCCAACGTTAACTAAACTAATTATATACTTATCGTTAACAGCACGGTTTTCAAAGTTCCGACCGCTGGAACTTCGACGCGCGACAGCGCTCGATTTGTTCTTGTTACAAACATACCCGGCATAATTATTCATGGTCTTTGCGATAATCTTCAGTCAATGATCTCGGGCGTAATATCGAGGATTCATAATGAGCAAAGTTATATTAACTCGAATGGGGTTTAGTGTGATGCATGGGAATCGGAAGATTCCAACTGTGAGACGTGCATAAGCTTACTATAACTTAGAGTACTCCAGATTCTTAAGCTAACATTCAGGAGAAAGTATTTCGAACGAAAAATAAAGAAAACAGTTAGTAACGATAAAAAGTATTATTCAAGTTTCGATTATAGGTATGCTATGAAGGAAAATCAAGCGAATTATTAGTGCTCGAGTAATCTTTGTTAAGAAAATGTTGTTCTAAAAATGTAGCTTCTAGAAAAATTCTAATAATATAATACTATTAAACGATATCATCAAGATACATCAATCCTTTAATACACCATTATTAAGTATGGATTATTACCTTCAAATTGAAATAAATACATTATTATTCATCAATTTTTTCCATATTTTATACTTTTAATAATTTAGTAGATTTCTTGATCCTCATATATCGGTGAAGAATAGAAAACGTAATTTGAAATAGAAACCATGTCAAATAAAAATAGCAGTGATATAATAAGACCATGAAAAACAAGAAAAAACTACTTTGTAAATAGAAGTAAACACAGTGTAATAAACAATTTTCTTTTCATTCATCACCATTATAGTGCACGAATAAAAATGAAACTATAATCCCCACTGTACCCCAAAAAATTTGAAATAAAATATCGCCCGTACTATATACTTTGCCACAGTATAAATAAGGCCTGATAAATAGAGTTCAGTTGTGGTTAAAAGTTTAAAGGATCCTGCAGGATGGACAAAAGTAAAGGAGGAGGGAGATAGGGGTGGAAAGAAAGTAAAGCGGGTCTCTGGGGCTGCCATAAATCTTACCTGCGTGGCCGTGTATCGGGAGTGTTTGCCAGGAAAACCTCCAAAGAAGTCGTCGGTGTCATTTGTGGCGTTAGTGGTGAAATTTAGAAGCAAGGTGCCTTCCGTGGTGATTACGTCCTTCCCCTCCATACGACCCTAGTCGGCAGTCCGGAGCATCCGAAGCGCCCTCCTCGACGACGGCTACGTTATGCTCCTTCTCTCCTCTCGACCATGGGATTCCAGGGAGGTTCAGGCCATGCATGGGAATCTTCTCTCGATTCCACGACCTGAGGTCCGCCTCAGCCGATCATCGTTACCGTTTGCCCGATACTGCCTTTGCTGGCCTGGAATCACATACCAAAGCGCCATCGATGAACCCACAGACTATGTTCGCGTTAGATAGAGCACGTTCGCGAGCCACCAAAACCCAGTGTTCGAGAATACAGTCGATCGGTACGGGAAAACAAAATATCGTATACCCCATAAACGAATTAAAACAATCATTTTTTTTGCGATCCATTCGTCTCCAAAAAGCTGTCAATTATCTATCCAAAACATTGCAACTTCTCGATAGTCTAAAATTGCTCGAAATAAAAAAAAATTATCGTCCTCATCGTTGCTCTTTTTACGTCTGCTTGTGATTCGATATAAGCACAAACGTGACATATTATAATGATAATTTGTGCTGAAATCTTCTACTTGAATTTCTGATACTTTTAGAAATAGAGGTTTGCAGAGTCTCGACGAAGATAAGTTAAAAAGACTTTGGCTCTGAGACAGGTTAAAGAGCTTCATCTCATTCGCTTATAGATAAAAAGTTCATGAGATAATTGTATCGACTTCTTATCACGACAGAGAGAATAGAAAACCTCACTACATATAAAACATCGACGACCAGAATTTAATATTTTTACATTTAATCAACAATTAATGGTTTCCATCAATATAGAAGACATCTTCGTTCGAGGTAATAATTTTAGCAATGCAAGTTTTAATAGCACATTGAGATGCGCTAATATTTTCGTATAACTTTGTAATTGCTCGAATAAGTTTCCGCATGATCGTTTGCTTTCATAAGATCGACATTAGGGAAAGAAGAGAACGTGGAAGAAACGCGAGGATGCGATCGAATAGTCCCCCGGGGTCGGGTAATTAAATTCCTAATTGTTTTATTGCCGACATCATTGAGACGCTTCCATCCACGGCGATCGTACCGCGAATTGGAATCGAAATTAAAGGAAAATGTTGGAGTAATAAATCATAGGGGTGGTATTGAGTCCAGTTCACGTTTCGCCGTTCGGATTACTCGGATTCCAGAAATTGCTCGATGGTACGCGGCCTGTCTCTATGACGGGAACCAGGAATACTCGACTGGTTGAAGGAGGTGTGGAACTGACAGCCGTTAGGTGGAAGAAAAATATTCGACTATGGAATGCAACTCCGTAACCACGCTATACCGGCTTAATAAATTGCCAGCACTTGTATTGGAAATTTCACATTAAGAAACGCGATCTTTTGCTCTTCCACCAATAGACACGGAAGCGTTTAGCTAATTGTATTAGCAAAATAGATGCAAATACTTGTGAATATCTTAACAAAATTGAATCGATTTCATCCTATGCAATATATGATCTCATAAGGAAGAGAAATGGTGAATATTTTGGCTCTTGACACTGTGCCAAAAATCAGATACAATCTTGGAAATCTGTAGAAGCGAGTTGAAAGAAAAATGGTTGAAAAAATAATTATCTGCTTCTCTGATAGGTCATTCTTTGCCAGAAGATTACCTTCCTTGCTAAAAAATATAAATGAGAGGAAAGAGCTGTGTTTTATTATAGTATTCCAAGGTTATTAAAGCTTTTTCCTAATATTCCATCTAATAAAATTTCTAAAATTCGTATATTATTCTATTTCATAGTTGTTATATTTATGAAACGCGTACAAGTTGAAAGCAATCTTATCAATCTGTTAATCTTTCATGGTATATGTTTCGTAGTTAACGACAAAAATAATTAGAAAGTAAACGAGCTTCGTGAAATGGTTCTGGAGGAACAACATGCGTGAAACTGATTTAATTATAGATCCATCCGCGTCGATAAAACCTCTGTGATCGCTCGAACCAATCCCTTTTTACCCCGTTATCCATTACGCTGAGACGTGGTGTAGCGTTCAGCGTCGTTAGGCAGCCTAATCTGATCCTAAATCGGCTTACAATCCAGGAGGTTCTCAACGCAATCGTTGACGTTACGCTACATTGCAGCCATTAATTACACAACATCCTAATTGTTGGGTTCGATCGCTGCTCCGTCAGTCGTGGCTCGATCTTATATTTATCATCGATTTCTAGATTACTTTCGTACCAGAGCCTATAAATGGCGATTAAAACTATTTCTCAAGCATTTTCCACTGAACACTGGCATTTTAAGCAAATTAATTTTCTTTGTAAATTGTCTAATGAGGAACCAAATGTCGAAACGTAAACAGAATTAGAAACGAAAATGTTTGAAAAGGAAAGAGCAATATTAACTCTGTTTAAATTAAAATTGAAAAGAAGCATTGGACAGTTATGTTTCCATTTGGTGAAGCAACTATTGTTTCCACAGATTTGTGCAACTTTAACTATGGAACTTGGATGACAAGGAAATTAGTACAATTAAGTGGCATTCCACGATGTACTGAGACATACCAATGACGATGAAGGAATAGGATGTAGAATTATTTAATTCATAAGAATGATAGTATAGAGTTCTAGTGTCCTAGAAATAGAGATTAGTGTTCTAATATATTTAGGTGGCTATCCACAGAATCTCAATGAAAGTTTCGACACAATTGTTTGACATCTGGTTCCAAATTACGTGTATTTTTACCTCGACTCGCAAACTGTCGAAATTGCCATTTATCTGGCAATATACGACAAAAGCCATTATTCCATGTTAAATATAATGGGAAATGTTGGACATCGGAATTGGGGACAACAATGTAGAGAAGCAGTTACATATATTATATATTGGACTGTTCCAAATCAATTTGGTGGTCATCAATCACCGATTTAGCCTCTTTCGTTTGGATCTCCATCAGGAATTTAAATTGATATAAAAATGTATCGTTGAAACGTAACAAAGAAACTGAAAAACATTTTTGAGGCATAAAATGTGACAGAAGTCTTCATTCTCTAACGTTCAGATTAATTTAGAGAAATATTGTTCCTTTACACGAATGAAAATCCAAAGAAGTTTGAACTTTTCTCGGTTTTTTAAGAGTTCATAGATTTTCACATCAGCAAGATTAGTAGATGATAAAGTTTCGCTAAATATTTTCCAGTTTCTTTCGAACAAAAGTGCAGCTTCCTTTTTTATTGCAACGTTGTTGTTACAGAAAGTGCTTTGTACGATGATTCTTGCTTTAAAATACCTGACGCAGCTTGAAAAGAAGAAGAATGTGTTTCTCGCGAACAAAGGACGGAATACAATTATTGAACAGGGCTTATTAAATTCTGATCCGTTCTTAGCGCACGAGTGAGTTGTTTGATGGCGAGTTCCTTTGTTATCGCAGCGTTATTGTAAAAGCATCTTGGGTACGCTATTCGCGCGCGTGTGTTACGAATTGATTAATGGTTACACAGAACGAGATATCTGGAACCAGGCCTTTGGAGTAATTTACCAATTATTGGGAATCTGGAACCACCATTGTACACGTTATGGCGCGTTTTAAATTATATTGTTTTCATACAAAAAATTTAACTACCGAGTAATACATTTCTTAAAGTGTGTAATTCAATCTGATCATTCTATATTTTTATTTACTAAATAAATAATGGCTTTTAACAGTCTAATTCAATAAGGGCCGTACATCGAAACCTCTCAATTTATTTGGTTAAAAAAGTTTTGTAAATTAACGGTACGAAAAATTAATTTTATCTTCAGTAATAAGAAAGTTATAGTCTTTCGAGCTTTTCAAACTTTGTTATCGATTCTATAAAATAATGAGAAAGCATTGAAATTCACACATATTCATAATAGCCTATATTTAAGGATATTTCGCGAATCAGGATACGGCTTTCAAAGGAGTTTCCACCTAAAAAGGGTTTAATTCAGATAATTGATGCAACGTCGAACGCTCAAAGGTATTATAATATATTAACAAAATTCGGCTCGAGGTTGATAGAAATTTCGTTCAAAGTGAGCTGGCTGGATTCCTGTAATGCTTCATAATCGGTCCAAGTATTAACGTTATAATTGGGAGTTAGAACAATGGGACATTATTAAACCGGCGATCGTGCATACCAAATTGAACAACAAATCAACCGTGGAACGCGAAATCTTCGAAGCAACAGCGTCGATTGATCGTGCTGTACAAGGGCCATTCAAAATGTGTCTACGATATCGATATTCCCAGTCCAAACAATAGTTTCGAAAATTGAAGCTTTCCCGGTTCTTTTTTTTTTTACACCAGAGAAAGAATACACCTCTGTCCAATATTTGTAACTTTTCATTGGTTTCGATTTATACCCACATAAGCTCCCTTTGTCCCTTTTTTTTTATTCTGTCGGGGATTGACACAGTTGTAGAATTTTTTCAATGGGTTCCATTTGGACAAATTAAATAACATTTTTCCCAAGAAATTCTCACATTATAAATGGCTTTAATCGATACTTGCAAAATTCAATTATTCATACTTCAAATTTTTGTACCTTTCGTTCGAAATAAATATTTATGTTAGTATATTGTGCAACAAGTTTTGCTTATTTTATGAATCATTTTTTAATATCTAAAATAGTACCTTCCATCGGTTTGAACTGTTATTACATAAATTATAAAACAATCATTCCAAATAAATATTCTTTTAAACGAAAAACATAAACTGTGATAGAATTTAAAAAAAAGAATTAATTCTTTCTTTCAACGAATGTCTTTAAATATTAAGGATGTCAAAATAATATAAAAGTAAAAATATTTCGTTCTAAAGTGGATTTAAAGTGCATTTAAAACAATATAGCTTACTAAAATAAATGTTCCGTTAAAGTATCGTAATATCGTGATCGATAACAGATTGTTTTGCAAGTTCTAGCATAACTGGGTAATGGTAGATAAACCTAAAAATTTTTTTACCTGAGAAACTTTAATTAATATTCCCCGGTATAGGTAGAATATGAATAGAGTCACGGTATAAATTGTAGCAACGAGTTCCAATTCTACTTAACCCAAAATTTCCACTGCATCGCGATTCAAGTGGGTTGCGTGTGAACCTAGTATTAGCATTAATATAGGAGAAGATCATTCGGCAATATATCAAATCTAATTTTCCTGCATATCAAACGCCAATGAATAACTACGTTTCCTTATTA